CCCCAAAACCCCAAAACCCCAAAACCCCAAAACCCCAAAACCCCGTTTAGTGAAGAAAATATTGAAAAAGTCGCACTTTAGGAAAGTAATTGAGAGATTTCTTCATAATTGGGGATTTTTAAGGGGGCTTCGGAGAAACAGATTTCTATCATTTGGTTGTAGGTCATGTCAAAGCTCTCAATGTATCCTCTAAACTCATTGAATGAGCAGTCAATAGAACTGCAGCCAGGGAGCTTGAGAGGGACATCATTATAGATAATTTTTACGTAGAAGCAGGCATCTTCGGAGGAGTCTTTGCATGCCCTGGTGTCTCTTCTATGTAGTTCGAATATCAGCACGGATGCATACTCTATGTGAGTTACTTCAATATTCTCAGGATTGAGCAGCTTCAATATATGTGAGAGCTGATAATCATGTGATGACAATAACAAAAATTTGGGGTTTCTGAAATTCTTTACAAGTTCTTTGTTGTAATCTTGTCCCATACTAGATTTGATCAATTCCATAATTGGGAAGATGTATCTGAGAGACAAGATTTTACTTGAAAGAGGAGACAGTTTTTCAATTAACAAAGTTACTTGCATTGATCTCACAATTTCCCACTCTTCATTTGTGAAGTTATATCTATCGAGTTTCCCTTCAAAATTCTCAGCAAAGAGGAGATCAGAGTATTTATAAATCTTCATGAATGAGAGATCATCAGGATCTTTTTCAAAAGCTTCAGCAATCTGATTAAAAATTAGTGGCCTGTAATGATCATCGTGAGGCTGCCAAACTTCTGGATCATCAACTCTTCTAGAATAGTCATTTACTATATAAGGACATCCACCATAGGCAATAAATGAATCAACAGATTGACCATAGTTCTTTACAGTGACAGGTTGCATTCCGTCTTGAACAGCATCAGTTCCAAGTTCTGTTATGATCTCTTCCAAATCATGCATGTTAAGAGGAGGGATGGACACATCAATCTGATCTGATCTTAAGTCTTCAGCTGTTCCTAGAGGGAACATGCCTAGTAACTGTGCATATGCACTCTGTACAGTTCTTAAAGATTGAGTTGACCTGACATAAACTTCTTCAGGATTAAATCTAGGACTAAGAAGATTCTGTGACTTATCCATACCTGTTATATATCTATTTCTGAGTTCATCTCCAATAAGATAATGTTGTCTAAATCCTGAAGGAGTGAGCATGCCTGGCCCATTCTCAAAAACAGTCCCGAAGGTGTCACCGTGTGGTGCTCTGGCACCATGTCTACATACTTCTGTGATGAATTCGAGCTTGCTTTGTATAAAACTTATCAAGGACACAAGAATGAAGAGTATTGCTCCTAGTCTGTGCATTATTATATTAAATAATTTATAAATATTTATTCTTGATACTGGGGTTTTGGGGTTTTGGGGTTTTGGGGTTTTGGGG